GCCCCACAGCAAACAGATAGTAAATGATGAAGCTGGGCTGGGAGACCCAGTCCACCAGACTCCAGTGCCAGTCTCTGTCACCGTGCCACATAACCTGTCGCCTCTTGTCTGGAGGCGGTTGTTGGGGTTTCATTCATCTCCATCTTCACCCTTATGATGCTGTCACACAAAGCCAACACCTGACTGATTGCCCCTAGAACACATGGTTTGGATGATCTGGGAGAGGCTCAAGTCCTGCTGTGCTCAGATTTCTCAGCATTGAGGCTGGGGGCACCACATCAGTTGCCTGGGTCTTTCTGGCTCCAGCTCAAATATTTTCTCACTCTCACCTCAGGCTTCTTCCCCAAAGTTTTGCCCCGTCTTTCTAAAGAGTACTCTTAACACACACACACACACACCCCATAGATATCTGTAGCATCATGGAAAGGTCACCGAATTTATCAGATGATCTGTGTCCAAATGCTTCCACCATCAAATAGATACCTGCAGTAACCAGCTCGAGAACCCTTGGCAAATCATTTAACCTCCTTGAGCCTCAGTGGTCTCATCTATACCGAGGGAGAAATAATACGTGCCCCATCACCTGATGGGATTGCCCTAAGGATGATTAATTAAAAGCACATTATAAACCATAAAGGGTGGTCCCCATATCAGGTATTACTAAGCACCTTGTGTTATGGCCTATTTCAGGTGTGGGTCTCATCTTTGGCTCTGATTAAGCTTGGGTCAGTAGGAATGACAGGGGCCCTGTTCTGTCTCTGGCCTGTGATCTGGGAAAGATTATCTCCTTACCCAAGATGGAGCCTGCTTGACTCTCTTGACCCTTCTCAGATTTTCCTCATGATCAGTTTATCTGGCTCCAGAGCAAGAGGCTGCCCAGCAAGGCCAGCACTGCAGCCAGACCAGCGCGAGCTCTGGCAGCCGCCTCTGGGAGACGCAGGGTTAATGTTTGTGCGTCAAAGTTACGTGGAGAGAAGGGGCCCGGGTGATGGGGGGGTGGTGGTAGTGAATCCAGATCTTCTCTTACCGTCTGAATCTGAGAACTAAACTAGGGAAGTTTAAAACAGG